ATTATTATTATTATTATTATTATTATTATTATTATTATTATCAGTATTGTTATTATTATTGTTATTGCTATTACCACTATACTATATTGAATGATTATTTTCATTTTGAAAGAATTCATTACGATGATTTATTTGTATGTTCACTGATGTGCAAATATTTTCAGATATGTTTTTTATTGTTTATAACGTTTTATTTGATATCGCGATGGATATTGGGTCTGTTGAAGTCGTGCAGCGATAACGATGAATTGTATGCGGGAAGGGAGGATTTCTTCGTTTTTAGGATATCGTAGGTTTTATTCATTTCTGTTTGAAATAGTGCAATAATGTCCGAATAAGTTAAAAGTGATCAATCTTAATCAGCTGAAACAGTAAAAACTATTCATCGTTTTATATTAGCATTAGAGTTCGAAGTATCCGGAATCCGAAGCAAAATTTGAGATTCTTCAAATCCTTTGTCAGTACTCCATAATCCCCCCAAAGATGTATCAAATATTAAAATTCAGTGCCTAATAAAATTTTTGAAGTATTCGATCATACAGGTTAGTTAATAATTAATTTGTTGAAGTTTATGGATGTGCACATGTTCGTTGGCGATCTCGATTGGTGCCGTAACGCTATTGCCGTTCTCGGTGCTGGGCGCCGAAATATTGCATGCATACCCAGATAGTTATTACTTCAAGTGGTTGAATTGGCAGTTGATCCAGTCACTATGGAACTATGTTTTTGCATTGAGCAATCTCTCATTGTTCATTCTACTTCCATTCGCTTATTTCTTTATCGAATCGCAGGGTTTTCGAGGACAACGTAGAGTGAGTTGTGCTTATTTCTGATTTGAACACATTCCATAAATGTGTTCGTATTGCATGAAAATGTTCCTGATCACTTCAAAATTCAATGGTTGCCCGAATTAATCGAATCAGATTTGATCGATTCTATGATATTCGTAATAAAAGCAATGTAATTAATTGAAATTGAATATTCAATGATCGAAATATGTGTGCACATTGTAGGGTATAATGACTCGAGTGTACGAAACAGTGGCCGTTTGTATTATGATGATTGTCGTGTTGATTTGTTTGGCCGATGTTGTGCAATCGTTTCTTTTGGTATTGTTTGATTTCATTCAGTCAAGTTTAAAACTAGAAATAAAATGCATTGTTTTGGATTAAGTAAACGTTCATGAGTATATTGATTTCATATCTGTTTTGAGAAATATAATGCTAATTTCCATGCAAATTCGTGCATAATGAATTTGAATTTGCTTTAGTGACTGTTATAGTAATAATGTTATTCTTGTTCTTCTTCTTGTTAGTTATTATTAGTATTATTGTTATCATAATTAGGGTTTGTTGCAGTCTCGACAAAAGTCAATATCACTGTCTTTGTTGAGTTTCACATCAGTCGATTTGCCATTCATCTATTCATGTGTCTCGTTAATTGGTGTTATCACATTACTCATCACAACACCAATCGGTTCGTTTCTTTTAGATAATACTTTTATTCTTAACATTCTTAAAAGATTCTTTTTTCTTTTCTTTATTCTTAAGAAGATTATTTTGTCGTTACATGACACACATCGAAGTTGACTGTAAGGATTGGTCACTATGATGGCCAATCAAAACTTCGTCATATTGCTTTGATGTTGTAAATGTTGTCGCCAGTAATCCATCTGAAAAACTCATTCAGTATTCCTTTTTTGCTATTCAAATTGTCAACAAACCGGTAAAACCAAACCCGTAAAGGGAAAAAATTAGGTTTGGCATCAGGAATTGGGCGCAATTGACGGATTTTCCTAGACAAAAGCGTTGGATTAGAGAGGGGGAGAAGGGGACAATTGCATTTACTCGTTTTTTGGGATTAGCATGGATGAAATGCAGAATTTATTTTGGAGTAGAAGCATGCGTGTTGTTAGTTGGTTGCTTCGCACTGCTGCTGCTAAATGTGAGTATGAATTAAGGATTCGCACGAATGTTCACAGTGGTATCGGATCATTTGTTAGCGCAGTCATCATCAAATGCTGCATCGTCGTCATTAAGTGACGAATACGACGAATATATGGTATTGTCACGTCTCGAATACAACACTCGACGATTACGATTGAAACGAAACGGTTACATGTCTTACGATTCACTGCCCACACCGATCACTCCACCCGAACCGTTCCTACCGAACAAACCACTTCTCGGCTATCAGAAAGTTCTTCACTCCATCAAATATCTACTCGCTATCGTCACACTTCTACTCCTTACCGTACGTTCTATTGCGCTTCAGTCTTTATTTTTTTAACTTTACGAATTGCCTGATTTACAAACGTTATGAATTGTTCCCTCTAAGTACTGCAGTATTTTAAAGAAACTGATTATGCTGTGGTTTATGACTGTGTATGTATATCTAGAAACACGAGACAATAGTGTTTTCGTTCGAAATTACTCATTATAGCAGACAGTAATCGTTTGTATTGAGTTTGATTTATATGATAATGAAGCTGTTTTACTTCTCAAACTCTGTGGGTTTGAGTTCGATTTGTTGTTTTTTGGTTTTTGATGTTGCTTTTTGATGCATATCGAATGTAATTAAGACATTCGAATGAAATCGGTATTCAAGCCATTAAATTACCGATTAAATTCGTGTATATGAATGCTGATAAGAAAAGTGAAAAGCTGCACCATCAAATAGCTGATGGATATGAAATTTGAATGCAATTTCAAAATATGACTATCAAAACTGATTGAAA